GAGAAAATACATACATATTAAATTAATTAATGCAGTTTTGATAAATCATTAGAATAAACATTTGATTTACCAACAGCAAGACTTAGAACTACTAGTAAGTAGATATATTTTTATAAGACTTCAAATCTAAGTTGATATAGGATACACCTTTAAGATTATTCAGAGAAAGATTAATCTCTAGATACCTGAAAGCAAGTCTAAGGATACTTTGATCTTAAAAAAAAAAAAAAAGATTTGATGTACCTAAAAAGAGAATGACCAAGTTAAGGCCAAAGAAGGAGGAGCAAATGTTCATCGTTTTTGGTTGTGCGTAGTTCCTTCGGTAATATAATTTTTTAATGAAGTTATGTGTTGGTTAGGGAGGATAAGATGGATGTGTATATACTGGCAGATTGAAGGCTGCTGTGTGCGATGACCGTGTTCGTTGACCCATGCTGGCCGTGAATCAAGGGCATCCAATTGCGAGACGTAGGACTGTTTATAACCACCGATTTTTTTATTAAGGTCACTAAGATTGTGTTAAAAAATATTATTTTTATTTAATTTAATTATTTAAAACTAATTTATATTTATTACTTAATAAAATAAAATAAAATTATAAATTAACATTTTTAAATATTATAATTATCTGTTTAAAAAAATTATAAATATCAATTAAATAAAATACACTTTTAATAATCTTAACAAATAAACTAATTACCATAACCAGATCTTCAGCATCAGGAGGCACAAAGACTTATCTGTAATTGGGACAACAATTATTTGTTTTTATTTTAATTTTTTTTGGGTACAATGTCTAATTTAATAATAAACGCGTATATGACCAAATAACATTGACATGACCTATTCATTGTACATTGCCTATTTTCAAAAAAGCAAAAAGACCGATTCATTGTATGAAAAATTTCTACACCTAGTGCTTGACTTGACCTGAATATTTAATATATTCAGATATAAATAGAGAAATTTCTCTAGCGTATGCTTGACTTGACGTGAATATTTAAAGTGTCTAAATATAGAACTATTTCGTGTGATTCAGTGAGTGAATAGATCAAACCGCGGGTGAAGTTTGTTTAAATTTGATTCTTTTATTTTTTTTTGAACAGATTTTACGAGAGATTGGGTTCGAACCCCAACCCTCAGACGAGGAAATGTATCGTGAGTAGCTTTTGTCACTTGATCCGAAGGGCTCGGTGCAATTCGATTCTTTTATAGATCTGAATATATACTAATTTTTAATCAATATTTTCCTTGTAAAAAAAAACATCTAAATATAAATGGAAAAATTTCTCTAGCTAATGCTTGAATACTACGAATGTTCAGATCTGAACACCCTAAATATTGACGACAGGACAAGCATCCATTGTAGAAATTTTTTCATACAATGAATAGATCATGTCAATGGGGTTTGGTCACTTACCCTTTCATCATTAAATGGGGTTCATGTTAATAGTTACTGAGTGAATTATATTAATAATTCTTAAAATTTTTATGCAAGATTTTTTTAAGGTTTATAACCTTCTTAGCCAATGAATTACTTAATACTTATATAAAAATGATCTATATATATATATATATTTAAGTTTAAATATCATTTTGATCCCTTAACTTTTCATTTTAATACCAAAATTATCTTTCAATTTTAAAAAATATTAAAATTATCCTTAAATTTTTATTTTCAATACCAAAACAATCATTCATTCCATCAATTAAATAGGCATGTATCATGTAACTTACCAACAAATCAATTCTTTTTTTTTCATTAATGATATAAAAAAAAGATTTCAATCTTTTTTTTATAAAGTTGATATTTTTATTTAATTTAAAAATAATGATTTTTTTTTCCATCCAGAAAAAAAAGAAAAATCTCTTCTTCCTCCGACTACCTCTGCATGGCACTAACTCTTCAACTCACCTCCGTTACTCTCAAATTTGATTCCTCCAACGCCACTATCTTCGCCCCTCTGGACTCCGCCTTTGCTCGCTTCGGCCAGCTTTCTCTTCTTGAACTCAAATATCACATCTTCCCAACAAGACTCTCCACAGAATGCTGCAGGGCTCTTCTGTACGGCGCCAGAATCCCCACGGTCTAGTCCGAATCACTCGCTGGTCGTCACTACAGATAAGGGTTTTGATTCCCCCTTTTCGATTAATAAGGTTTCGGCAATTTGCAGATCTTGGTGAGTTCTTCAAGACACCAACGTGACGAGGCGTAGTCAGGAGAGATAATGACAATGGATGCAGCAGAGTCTTCAATGGCTTGGATAAAAGATGGGGAGATCTCTTCCCCCCGTCTCAAACTGTCATCGCCTATAAAGACCCGAACCCCATGTGACTGAAGTGAGTAGTAGAGGTTCTTGGTGATGCCATGGCGAGTGTCTTCACCTCAAAAACTGAGGAACAGATCCCACCGGAGCCTGAAAAGGCTCAGAAGCCAATGACAGATCTCCGTCATTTAACATTTCTGAAGCTTTTTCTGTACTGTTTACCTTTTTCGGTGGAAGGAATAAGAAATTCTATGATTCAGGAATGTATGAGTGCATCGGTCGGTGAGGCTGTACATAGATAATGACTAAAGACGACAAGCAACCTTCTCATCGTCATTGTCATCGATTTGGATCCCCAGATTCTCATCAACATCAATAATTTTGGCTCTCTTGTTCTCATCAGATGGGGACTTTGAGTCAGTGGAGTGCCGGTGGCGTTTCTGACTGTTGATTTCTGGAGGTGTGGATGGTGGTGAATCTTATGATCTGTGTCCGACAAAAGAAGTGCTAGGGTTTCAGATGAAGTTTTTTTCCAAAAAGAGATGGATTAGTGGAGAACTGGAGAAGAAGATGGTTTTCGAGATAGAAATACTGAAGTGATTTTTTTTATTAGAGGGAGTGGGTTTTCGGGGGAGGGATTTAGAAGAACCGTCAGTACACAGAAGGATTGAGATTAAATTTGAAAGTGTGACCGTTTGTGGTTTGAAATTTTGGAGCCCAGTCCACATGTTCAGGCGGCACCCCCATTATCTTTTTTTGCCCCCTTTTGGTTATGATGAAATGACTGCAATGTCCAGCTCTGGGTTTTCTCTCTCGAAGGAGGAAAGGAGGAAGAAGATGATGTTTGAGAGAGAAAACCCAGATCTGGGTTTACAAAGGTAAGGGAAAAGGAAAGGTAAAGCAGAGAGAAAATGAAAGAGGAAGAAGACCCAGATCTCGGTTTGCAGAGGTAAGGGAAAAGGAAAGGTAAAGGAGAAAGAAAGTGAAAGAGGAAGAAGAGATCAATTTTTTTTTGACGTGGATGAAAAAAAAAAGCATCATTATTTTTAAATTAAATAAAAATACCACCTCATGAAAAAAAAGATGGTTAATTATGTTTTTTTTTTTTTTCATGTCATTAGTTAAGAGAGAGAATTGATTCACTGGTAAATTAACGTGCCACTTGTTCATTTAAGGGACGGAAAAATCAATTTGGTACTAAAAATGAAAATTTAAAAATAATTTTGATATTTTTTAAAATTAAAAGATAATTTTAATACTAAAATAAAAAATTAAGGGATTAAAATAATATTTAGACCATATACTTATTATCATATCTCTAAATAATAATTTTTTTTATTTTTTTATAATTAAAATAATAAGAGTTGTGCCTTTATTTTAATTTTCTTTATCATAAGTATGTTTGGATTAAAGGAAGAAGAAAAGAAAAAATTTTAATTAATTAAATTATAATACTTTTAAATAAAATATTATAATTTAATTACTCAAAAAATCTTTCCCTCTCCTTTTTTCCATTCTTTTCATCTCATACATACGGTAACTTCTCTTTATGTAGGGGACAATTTGGGAGGATGAGGAAATCCAAAACTCAGAGTCACGAAGTAAACTTGCTATTGCCAGGAAAAAGGTGAAAATTTGTGGACCATAAATATTGGAAATTGCAAAAAAGACTGATACTTAATATTGTTGAGAATGATAATTAAAAATTTTAAATATATTAATGAATCCACACAAAAAAATTCAACAAAAAAACATGAACTTAAAAAAAATTTCTGACAATGCAAAGTCATGTTTTTTATTTTCCTCTCTATATTCCCCTTTCTTCACCAAAATATGAAAGCTCTCTTTTTCTGTGAGTATGGTTATGGCCACTCACAAATTTGTTAAGGTTACTTAATTTTATTTAATTTGATGTTAAAAATAATAAAATAATTAATATTTATTATTTAACATATTAAAATTAATTTATAAATTAATATTTTTAGATATTATAACTAACTATTTAAGAAAAAATTAAAAACAAATAAAATATTAATCTAATTAAATAATTTTAATAAAATTGTTGGTCACCATAACCACACCTGGATTGTGGGCTGCCTAATTTTAATTCTAAGCGCACGATTTTGAAGACCTATTGATTTTACTTATTGAATGTGCTGCTTTTGCATCATATCGCTTTGTTTACGTTCCTACATCAACTAATCAAGTAGCGGATTGGCTGGCAAAAAATGGTTTCGTTATAATAATTGCCCTACTACTGGGTTACCTGTCCTCACCCGAGTTGAAGGGGCTTTTTATTTTTAATTTGTTTTTCAATCAGTAAAAAAATAATTTTATTGTAAAAATTAGGCATATGAGTGTTAATACAAGATTTAAAAACTAATTAATAATAGTCGGGGTAGCATTTATTATATAAATTTTAATACTATTTTCCAATGTGAAATTTTTACACTTAACATGTCCTTCTCACATGCTAGTTTAGTATTAATTCTGAATTCTGTCATGCGAATCTCAAGTTATAAGAGGTCCTCTTCAATCTTCACGTACAGGTCTAATTTGTTATATGTATCTTGAGCTAACAAATGAACTTGATATGCCTTTCCCTTGTGCAGGCCTGAACTGTCACAATATCTCGGGCTTACAATATCTCAAGCTTACAAGAACAGAGCTTGAGCTCTAATATCATGTGAAAAGGTTCATATCTAACCTAAAATTAATTAATTATTAATAGAGTAACTTTTTTTATATTTAACTATTAGCATAGAGTATAAAATATACTCCTATGTACCCATTACAGCTAGTCTTAACAATATAAGTTCAAACAAATAATAAGCATCCACTTAACTAAAGTCCCTATAAATAAGACCAAATAGACCATTTCAAAAATATTTCTTTTAGGAGACTAACTCTAAATACAAACCTGACATGAACCATTTGAAACCTAAAAAAACAGCCACCCGTTGAGACTTATACCAGCACTCAGAAAGTAAATCCAGCCACACATTAGCTTTTATCCAATAGTAATATCTGAATTTACATGTTGATCGAGAAGGTTGCTAATGTACCAATTGCCTTCAATCATTTTTTGAGGTCCAAAAAATGAAAAGAGCAACTGTTGGATTCATGGTGGTCACAGGATTTTACCAGTTTCAAGTGGTAGGAGGTAAGTAATCTACATAGGTTGATTCCTATTGACGAGAATATATACCAGTTTCAAGTGGCAGGAGGTAGGTAAGCTACATAGGCATCATTTTATGGTAACATATATCCTAGGTTAGGTTTGTCTATTTTTTCTTCTTTTTCATAAAGAAGAATTAGGTGATATCCAGGGTTTTATAACGTTAAAGATCCCATGATTTGATAATTGAAACCAACCAGGGTAGAATGCGTCTGTCAAATTTTAGCAACTGTTAGATGTTAATAAGTTTTTTTATTTTTTTTACATCAATAATAATTTGTACAATAAAAAATAGATTTTTTTTTAATTTTTAAATTCTTTTTTATTTATCTTAAAATTTAATCTTAAGATGTAATATAAAAATTAAAGTTTAAAATTATTAAGATGCCCCTGAGAGTAATTGCTAATAACTTGACAATCGTTTTCATTTCCCACTATTGTACCGCCCATTTTGGGTACAAAAATCACAACATGAAAAATATTATTTTAAAACACAATTCAAATTATAAGAACGCTAAGTATTGAATTAAGGATCTGCACTAATTATAATGGAGTCTTTCATTATCTAACAATTAAATATTTTATAATTTGATATAATTTAAATTATAAAATATTATTTGAGATTCATTTATATTTAAGTGTGTAATTTGGAACGATTAAAAGTACTAAAATTTTTTGCCTTTTTGGGTTGACTAAAAAAACCATTCAACATTTTCCAAGGCCTAACAAGAAACACTGAAAAATTCAAGAGGAAGAGTTGATTGTATGAAAAACTGATCTTAACCGAGAAAAGATTTGAGTTTTCACGACTTCTTTTCTTCTTACATGAAAGGGGATTTGGACCCTGCAAAATTCAAGAGGAAGAGTTGATTTAGGATACCACCTGAAAGAAGGCAGTCACAATGGGAATGGTACACCTCACCTGTTATGTTTTATTCTTCATGGTTTTTTTTTTTTTTTTATATCTAATTAGCCATCCTTCTAAATTTACTAATGTTCTGTAAGCTTGTTTTCAGTTTTCATACATTTTAACCAGCAAAAGCATTACATAGATATTGTCCCTCAAGAGTAAAGAGAGTCTAGAAGGATGTGTTGACAAGGAGTTCACCTTAGCTTTTTTTTCTCTTGAATTGAACTCTGTCCTTCACACCTAATTCCTTTCCAGTACTACACTTTCTTGTGTTGTGCGCTTGCAATCTGGGATCATGAGATTCTAAACCTTCAACATCATTAGACAGTGCTACATCCTCATTTTCCAAAAGGACCCTAGTCTTCCTCTCCAATAACTTATGATTCTTTTTTATCAAAAAAAAAAAAAAAAACTTACGATTCTTTTCAGTCGTATGTAGATGTTTTTCTTCAGAAGCTTTGACAACTGATGTTGAAATGAAGATGGTAGCTTAAGGAAAAGGGCATTTCTTAGAGCAAATATTAAAGGAGCACTAGGCACCTGAAGGAAGATAAATGAGATAAATAAAATGCATATTTAAAGGTGCCATTAACAGCAGAAAAATGATTAAAAAATTAAGAAACATGGACTATTCTCTTTTCTCTGTCATACAATCCAAAAGCAAAAATTAGGTAGTAGAGCTTTGTACACAAACAATGGTGCTAGCTGACAAATAACAGATGAGAAGTTGCCTTTCATCATGTCAACAATCATTCCATCAAAATACAACTAATATGAAGCAAGCAAAAAGGGTACTCACATCTCCAACCCTTTCAGACTAAGAAATTGGTTTTTTGATGAAACTACTTAGGTATGTTAGCTTAAGCTCAAACAAAATTTCACACTGCAATTATCCAACTTAAAATAGTCAAGACATTAAAACACTAGTACATTGACTGACCTCCTGAAGCTTGTTTCAAAGATCAACATGCTGGGTAGCAACAAAAAAGTGCTCAGGATTATTTTATCCAATTACATCCAAAATGCAAGCATTGGCACCCTTCCTCTTCTCATGATCACATCTGAATTAAATTTGACCATGAAAATTTTTCATAAATAATCATATTAAATAACAAGCACGCTAGTAATTTAAATCTAACATAACATGCAAACAGCCACACACTAGAACAAGAAGGATGGATGGAAAGTCAAATGTGGAAGTGATGAAACAAAGAGAAAGAGAGCAATCTTACCTTGCAATTGTGAGTTTGTTAGCAGCGTGGAAGGAGTGAGAATAGGAAGCACCAAGAGTTTTCAGCTACACAAGAATACATCTAACTTAAATTATTAGAAGACCAAATAAGTTTGAGGGAGATTAGGCATAACTAAAAAGAAAGTGAAAGAGGAGCTTACCTGGTGGTGAAGAGCTTGATGGAGGCACAAAGGCAATTAGAGAGAGCAGTGTCGGCGGATGTGATGTTATTGACAAGGTGATGGACAAATGTTCCATCACACAGCAACTTGAAGGGCTGCCTAAACCCAAAGCAAACAGAGAAGAATCTAACAGTCTTCCTATGACACTTCTGCTTCTTCACTTTCATCTTTATTCTTGAGGTGGCTGCCTTTGTGATGATGCCAACAGCAACAAAAGCCCAGTGGACCTGTTAGATTAGAAGTTGGAGCATGTCACTTCCTATGACTCCTCAGTAGCAACATGTTCTATCAGAATTCCTTGCAAAAATGTTGTTTCATTGTTGATTTAATTGGCTAAAAAAAAAAAAAGTTCATTACTGTCTGGCATTCCATTTTGAGTTTCATTGCTCATCTTTCTTGCGGGGGGACTACTTAGTAGCAACAAATAAAGCTAAAGAAGCAATACCATAGAGAAGTTGCAAAATGGAAACATTTCAGGGGTAGCATCGCACTCTTTGGATATTGGTGTCTTCTCTCCCACACCACCACTCAAGCCCTTAATTATGTTCACTCAGGGTTGCGTCTGTTGGTTTCTCCCCTGACGTTAGAGACTTGTGTACCTTGTGTCAAGCTATTAACAGCTCTAAGGTTAGAAGTGCTCGTTCAGACTAGGGTTCCCACCACCTCTGCTAACCGCCTGCTCCGTAGTGAATAGTTCGTGTTTCTTTTCCTCTTGTTGCTCACCTTCCCTAAGGTGGTTTCCACTTTTGGATGTTTGGCTGTTGTATCTTCTCCCTTGTAGTGTTTTTATTGCCTCATGAATCGTGATAGTTATACTTTGCCAAAAATTTAAAAAAAAAAAACGATTGATATATCTTTTGATTCAACATACTTCACAATATTTATTGGTTTAATCATTAAAATTTGTAGTTTTTAGTTTTTTTACCTTTACTTTAAATTTAAAATTAATAATTTTTTAATAAGTATATCGTAATATATGTATTAAAATATAGTATGTATCAATTATTGTGAAAAAAAAAATAATATATAATGACAATTTTGACTTTGTCCCTCAAATGTTTTCTTCATGTTTTATTATTCTAAATTCTAAATATTAGGCAACTCTAATATTCTAGAGTTTAATTATTAGTATAATTAAATAAGAAAAAAATCTATACATCTATCTATTTATTTTTTGAACGCTAAAAAATTTAGAAAAATATGTATAATAACTATGTCATAATTGATATAATTTCATTAGTTTCTTGATCACATCACAATATCTATATGATATTGAATATCGATCTTTATTTATTTTAGCTACATTATGATCCTGATTGCATCATTGGTCGCGGGCAGAAAGTAATTAGGTAATTAGGACCACCGTAGCAATAGTGGAGGCTTGAGATGTCATCAAACGGAGAAAGTCGAGAATGTCACGGGGATATCCCGAACCAATAGAAGAATATCACGTTACTCTACAATAACACGTCATGTCATGTTACTATTCATCATTTAACAGAGATCCCATTTAATGAAAATTAAAACCTTCGTTAGCTACTAACAATTTATTGATCCGACTAAAAAAAATTTAATATTTTTTAAATAAAATTTCGATAAATAAAATTTTGAGTTTGAATCTTATAAATAGAAAAATAAACATTGTGAGATTCCCCTAAATAAAATCTAACGTAACTCGATTCTGAATTAATTAAAATTTAATGTGATTATCGAATATCAAAAAATTAATAAAAAAAAAACCGGGTAAGTAACCAAAAAAAAAACTAAAAAGTCTTCTCCCCAGCTATAATGTAAAATTATTCTTACCCATTTTGATGAAAGGCACCATAACAACATCCCGCAATGATAAACTCAATCCGCTACCATTTGAAACATTTCATCCAAACTCTAAAAGCCCATCTAGCCAAAAACAATATGATTTCCCAGGTAACAACAAAATACAAAAGATATACCCAGGTTTTTTCAATTTAGCCTGCCAAAATTTTCAATTTAGAAAAGAAAATCTCTTTAATTTCTCTCAAATTCCCCTCTTCCTCTCTGCTCGGGCTCTCCTTTTGAGTTCTTTTCTTGGATCTCCTTCAATTTCTCATGAATTTTCTTTCTTTCCCAGGTTTTAAACTTTCCATTCTACACAATTTAAAGTTGCTTGACAAATTTTAGAAAGCTTGCATATGAAATTCAAAATATGTCACTGAGTTTAAGCGGAACTTAGCCAGCAATTTCGTCTACAACCTTAACGGAGGTTTCAATTTTCCGTTAAATGCTATCTCCGTTGTATGATGAATCAGCAACCTCACATGTTAATGTAGAGTGACGTGTTGTATTTTTATTGGTACGGGATATTACTGCTGTGGTATGCCCGTGATATTCTAGACCTTCTCCATGATCAAACGCATAGCTATAAGCCTGAGGGCATTGACTCTCGAAGAAAATTGACTAGTTCGTGGGCTTGGAAGTACTAGATGAATTGAGTGGGCCTGTACAACAATACTGTGGCAGTTTGTACCCATCGCAAGCGCTTTTACACCCAACGGTGCTCCCATTGGACCCCTTAACAGCCAGATTTGGTGGACAGTTGGCATTGATGTTAGCCGCACAGCTGGTCGTGGTGCTGTTACCAGCGGGCCGCCTTGTGGGGTTATCGAGAGAGGCACGTTATATCCGTCTACAAGGCTCACGTCGAAAAAATCTTTTCCCCCGGGTTTTGCTATTGTGAATTCCGCGAGGGTTACCGGTGGAGCTCCTCCACTACCGTTGCATGCAACCTGGCCAGAGCCACAGTCACCTGATGCACAGGTGAATTTTCCGGAAGAGTCTTTTGAGCATTGTGTTCTACCCCAAAACCGCGACCCGTCCATTGAGAAGGAACGTTAATGGAGGTAGACTCTTGGGGCTCTGACTCGAAGCCAGTGTTTGATAACTGAGCCCCATTACCGCCGGTTAAGGTTGCTGGCCAGATTGTGTACGGACAGTTGTTTTTCACAGTAGTGGTTGCTGCGTAACTCCTTGTAATAATGAGTTATATTTTGTTTAATTAATAAATGTTTACCTCATTTTCAGAGTTTAATACAGTCCAACAGTGAAAACAAATTCTTTTTTATCACTTTATTCATAGTATGTTGTGTACTTAAACTCAAGAGTTATTAGTATTTATAGGGATTTTTTAATATGTGTTTTTTATATAAATTTTTATATAAAATTTAAATAAAATATAATATAAAATGTAAAAATAAAATAAAATATAACATTTTACTTCAAAATCTGAAAAAAAATTATGAATTTAATATGAAAATTTATGTAAAATTAATTAAAAATCTTAATTTATGTTCTTAGAATATAGGTTAGTCTTGTCCTATGCCCATCTATGCTTACCTGTGTCCTCATGACACTGGTTACATAAATCTTTATTTATATATATTCATTTATATTTATCAAATTAATTATTAAATTTATTTTATTTTATAAAAACTATCGATCATTTTGTTTTTTAATGTAATGGTCTAAAATTATATTGCTATTAAATACACCCAATTATTTTAAATTTTGGTGTGCACAATTTTCATAATTAATAAAACATTTCTACCTAATTATTTACGTGTCTGGTTATATATATACATAACGCATGTTTGAATCAAACATCTAGTATTATATGCATACACTAAAAGAAATATATAAACATCTAGGTCTTATATGCATTAAAATAAATGAATTTTTGTAAATAACTAAAACAAACAATTGATTTGTTCCCGGAAATGATGACGACCAAAGGGCGACCAAAGGGAGGCCAAAGAAGAGTGAGCAAATCTTCATTTCTTTTAGTTGTGCTGAATTCCTTTGTAATGTATTTTCTTGATAAAGCTATGTGGTTCGAAAGGGTTAGAAAGGAATGAACTTCAACATATATACATAGAGGGGGCTTGGGTAGGATCCATTCCCGTTGTTTTCTTTTATGGGTAAATTGAGTGCGTATGATTATGAGAAGGTGGTTTAGACTGTTTAGTACTTGGTGGCCAGCCGTGAGGAATAAAGAAGTCCCGCCATCGACAATGGTGACGTCCCTACGCACTCCAGAGAGAGGAGGCCGGCCCACCCTATCATCGGCATTTATTAATTAGTCCTTTTTTTTTATAAGAATATTTTTAAGTTAATTTTTACCCCATCAATATTAATTTTTTTTTGTTACATAATAAAAAATAATCTGTTTTTATTTTTACCTCATCATATAATTCAAATTTAAAATTTTTTATTTTCAACAAAAAAAAAATTATTATTAAATTATTTAATATTTTAACTTAATACTTCTTTAAAAAATTTTTAAAACCTACTCTTTATATTAGTTTAGTACTTTTATTAAAATATTAACCCTAATATTTGAATCCTAAACTTACTATTTAAGATAAATTTTACTTATTAGTAAATACAACGCTCTAGTTTTAATTGATTGAAAGTTGATCTCCAGCCCTCATTGCATTTATTGTCAATTTGCCACGTTGAATGTTTTTTCTTAGTCCACCAAATAGAAAATAAACCCTATTTTCAATTAAATTATGACTCTTTAAACAAGAGTAGTTCTTTTTTGGATAATAGAAAAGGTTTATTTTTAACATTGACTTCGGTGCTAAATTTTTTAAGTGTTGATTCGAATTGTGGGCCAATAACTAAAGAAATTTAAATTCCTCAAATCCACCTACCCAAGCTAGATGTGAAATCGTTAAAAAAAAAAAATTAATCTACTCACTTACTTTTTTTGTTTCTTTCTTTCTTTCTTTCTTTCTTTCTTTTTTTTGGAAAATCTACACACTAATTGATATGACTTATGAGTAATAAGTTTTTTAAGGTATAAGGTATTGTTACTATTCAATAAAAATCATCTAAAACTGGAGTAGATGATTTCAGCTTTAAAATTTAAAAACTTGCCTCAAAAAAGCTGTAAAATTTAATTATTATATTTTTAATAAGAACTTAGTGTAACAACGTAATTAAAATTTTTTAAAATAATTTTTGTAAGTTCAATTAATAAATGTTAATTTTATTATTATAAAATAAAAATAAAATTTATGATTTCTTAACATTTAAAATATTAAAATTGTTTATAAAATTATTAAATGTTTTTAATAAGTTTTCTTTACTTGTTAATTCAATAAAATATTTAAAATTTTCTATTATCATTCTTAACATTTTAATTACATTTTGATTCTCCTCAATCCTCTTCTTCCTCTTATTATGATTAATATAATATTTACATGTCCTCAATCCTTATTATAATTACATTTCATTAAATCCGATTCATATTGAAAACTAAAACCATCATTGGAGCTGCAAGTAAGATTCACTTAATTTATTCAGTTGACTAATCCATGTGTATTGCAACTTAATGTAGTCGTTTTTCTATTATGTGCCTTTAACTTTAACAGTGCAAAAGGGGGGGGGGGAGTCAATATTCAAATAGAACACCGTTCCTGGGTCCTGACTTCTCTGTGGATCTACTTAAAGCCCATGGTCAAATAGAAAATCCACAGCCCATAATATGTTAAGGGATACAGAATGTCAGTAACCGCCGTCTAGGCCCAGCACATAATTTTTTGGGCCCGTCTCTGCCTCTGCTCTGCTTTTGAGTTATGAGGTTGGACTTTGGACTTTGGAGATCTCCGTGCTACTGCTAATGCTAACAAAAAAAAAAAAAAGTTCATTTATTATATTTTATTTACTTTTTATTTTCTATATATCTTTATTTTTTTTGTATATTCAATTATTGAATTATATAATAGGAGGATAGTTCTCTTCTCCTAATAATCTATATCTACCCAATTTAAAGATTCAAATAAAAAATCCCTAATTTAGATCTTAGGTTTTTACCCACTTTAAAAACTATATCCCAAACTTGGCAAATTAACTAGTAAATGCATATATTTATTTGTGTTTTGTATGGTATACCCATACCTTAGAGTTGTTATCCATATTATGTCGAAAGAGAGATCTAATAAGTTCCTAATTGAGTGACATTTTAGCAATTACATGGCGCCATATTCAAATAGCATCATCATGTGATTATACATGTTTACTTTACATGTTCTAAATTCTACATATCAATCTAGAAATCTTGAGTTTAATCAGTATTGTGTAGCTCGAAAAGAAAAAAATATATATAAATCAAAATAGAATTTCCATTAAAAATTAAAAAGAGATATGGTTGTAAAGGTGAACTAAACATTTTATAATTATTGATGTAGGGTGAAACCATTTTTTGTTATCAATGGTCCCTCCAATCAATAGTTATAAGATGTGCAATCCACCATCATTTTTCTAAAATCAAAATATAGAACTATAATATAATTGATATTTTAATTATTTCTTGATCATAGGATAATACGATGTTGAACTTTATTCTTTAATTTATAGAGATTAGGAAATGCACCCTTAAGCCTTTTACTAAGAACACTAATTCTACTACAAAGATCACACATGCCTGTTGCTCAAGGACGGCAGCGGGGTCTCGAGAGGTCGAGGAATCCCTCCCCATCCCTGTCCCCACGAATAGCAGAGACAAGGATCCTTATCGGGATTTTTGACGGGGGCCAAATTTTACCCTCCATCTCCATTCCCTGCCAATTTATATATATATATATATATATATAAAAAAATAGTTATGCCTTTACATAATTAAGAAGAAATTAGAGGGTAGAACTAAAAATAAAAAAAAAAAGGAAAAAAGAAAACATGTTTGACGTGATGAAAATGTAAAACAACAAAAGAACACCCGGTGAGATGGACGAAGAAGAGCAAAACAGCTGAATGCTCGAGCTTTTGAAGTAGCAAAAGCAAAATAAGCAGATAGATGGTTTGCTTTTGCAAGGGGAACAAATTTGGCACAGTCTGGTACCAATGACAAACGACAGCAAGGGGAAGGTTAGAGTAAGTGATGACTGATGAGATGATAAGGTAATGAAGTTAGGGTTTATAATGGATTGGGTTGGGTTGAGTTGTGAAAAATTAGATTAAATTTAATTTTTATGGGTTGAGTTGGGTTGAGTTGTGTAAAATTGGGTTAAATTTAATTTTTATTTAATTGGATTTGGGTTTGGGTTTGGGTTTGGGTTTGATAATAAATTGAATAAAATTTAAAATAAAATTAATTTATATATATCTTTTAAATTTTTCGCGAGATAGGGATCTCCGTAGGGTTTCGTGTGGTGGGGGAAATTTCTCGCATAATTTTGCATTAGAAAAATGCCCTCCATCCCCACCCCATAAAGAGGAATATTCCTCCACACCCTGTCTTTGCTCTGTCCCCACGATAAGGATCCTCGTGAGGCCTTGCGGGAATCGAAGGAAATTACCATCCCTACTATTGCTGATATACCCAACTTTATTTATTTTTAGCTTCATTAATTATAACCCTTATTTTATCACATAGAAGTGGAACTCATTATGGGCAGAAAGTAATAAGGTAATTGGTGCTGCCGGTGCAAGAGAAGGTGCTTGAACTGTCATCAAAAGCATAACTATAAGCTTGAGGACACTTGTTCTTGAAGATCATTGAGTAGCTCGTGGCTTTGCAAGTATCTGCCGAATTGTATGTGCCAGTGCAACAGTACTGCGGTTCATTGAACGCAGTGCAAGCGCTTTTACAACCGATAATGCTCCCATTAGACCCTGTAATAACCAGATCTGACGGACAGTTTGCATTAATGTTAACGCCACAACTGGTCGTGGTGCAATTTTGACCGGAGCCGCCTTGTGGAGTTATCGAGACAGGCAAGTTAAAGCCATCCACAAGGCTGATGTCGTAAAAGTCTTGGCCCCCGTTTGATGCCAGTGTGAATTCTGAAAGGGATGCAGGCGGG